TCTGCTTGTTCAGGGCCGTAGCTTGCACTGAATGTAAGCAGCTCTTAAAATGTTCCTCTAAGGTCTAGATGCTCTCAGTTTTCTGCCCTACACTGTGTAAACTTATGTTTGCACCTAGTAAGCATATCTTACGAAAATAACTGGTGTAACCCACTTTTAATGTCTTTTTTTTTTTTTTTTGGTAATTTTCCACAATTCAGGTGGAATACATAACCTGTCATCTACTGATATATAAACAAATCACCAGCAACCCAGCTACAAGTCTGAGCACCTGAGAAAGAGCAAAGAAGAAAGCCAGATGCTCTGGTTGCCTCACCCCATCTTCCAACAGCATACCAGGCTAAAATAAACATTATCTGCCTAGATGCAGTTTGCACTGCTGCACAGGCAAGTTCTGTTTTGTGAAACCAATGTCCACTTACGTTCTGGTTTTACTCTGTGTGGCCCCAGTGTAGCCATTGCCTTGAAACACAAAAGAAGAAAATAAAGTTAGTCTGCATGCCTAGTCTTTTTTTCCCTTTAACTGCCAAGTTCAATTATGAAGTTCTGTTGCAGCATAGCTCAAGATACCTCCTTTTACATTCCAAAATATCATCAGAACAAAACTTGCCATAATTCTGATTCTGAAACAAGAAATGCTGTATGAACAACCTACTGTGTGGATTCATAAATTATACTTTTAAGCTCACACACTTTTTCCTCATGTGAGGTGTGGATCACAGTATTAAGTAGGAAAAAAAAAAACCCTTCCAAGATCGGATATCTTTATTGCTTTTAAACAAATTCATAAAAAGGTAGAATCCCAACAGATTTTGCGTTTCTTGCTGTTGTTTTAAACCATGTCAAACAACAGCTAAGAAACCTAAAGGAAAAGATATTTTGTGTCTGCTCCTCTGATGCTATCAGAAGAGAAGAAAGTCAGACAAGTTTTCATGCAGGCATCATATTTTACTTTGTTTAGGAAATATTTACAAATATAAAATAGGACTGAAAGAGACTCAAAGCATTCCCCAGCAAGTTTCATAATTCACATGAAATAGCTTGCTGTTCCAGAAGTTGAGAGACACTGATTTTTGCTAGAGTACTAGGGGAAATTTTCTGGTCAAGCAAGGCAAGAATAGCATTTAATTACACAAGATTAACTAACAATGTGATAAAGAACTGATGAAGGGACTGTGCACTCAAAAGTTGGTTTATTTTTTCAAATGTATCAGTTGGTCAAGCAAACTTCTCTTCCTGTAAACCCCAATTTTCTTATAACCTGGGAAAGCTACAGCTAAAACTTTAGCATACCAAGAAAATCGCATGAGAGGTCAAAGCACAGAAACCTTGATAAAATAAACAATTTACTAAGAGAAAGTACACCATACTAAATTCAAAAACCTTAATTTAAAACAAAGTCCTACGAAACTGCTGAAGAGTTTCTACCCAGGCATTTCAGACTATATAGAGTCATGACAGTCTTGAAGTTCTTTAGGATCAGTTTATGACAGAAAATTACAGGCTACCTGTTTTAGGCATAACTTCTCCCATCCCCTCATCAGTTTCTTCTGTGTGATTTGGGTTGAATTGGAAAAAGTAACAATAACATAGCTTGAACTGGAATCATTAGCTGACCATTGCAAAAATAAAAATCTGCTTAGAGTGCTGATTTTATTAGTAGCACATTTACATATTTGTAAGAGGCAAAAGGACTGAACAAAACCCCAAACAAACAAAAAAACAAACAAAACAAAACCCAAAGCTACTGGCATTCATCCTTTCACCTTACCTTCCTTATTGTTGTCCAGTCTTCAAGTATATCAAGGTCTTGTAACATATAAACTATATAGGGGCGTTGAAAAGTTAAGGGATTCTCTTTTAAACAGCGGTAATAAACTATCCTAAAGATTGTAGAAAGATGTTAATAGCTCTATTCTGCCAGTCGTTCATGCAAGGAATACCTACGTGAAGCAAAAGCTTGGGGCGGTGGCGTGGAGGGGAGGTGCCTCGGAGTCATGCGACTCAGTATACTTTAAAAGTTAGGAGGGCTAAATAACACATGCATATATGCTTATACTACCGGAACTCAACTTAGGGATAACAAAATTAAAAACTGGAATACAGCCATTCCATCCCTGACAGTACCAAAAGCATTCTATTTACAATACTACAAGTTAGAATTCAAATTCATTGCAATTTCAATATGCCACTGCAAATCAGCATCTATGCTAGTATCAGTTGCATTAAAATTACCATTTTTACAGCATTCTGCATCATATTTCTTAGGGATAAGAGTGTAAACAGTGCCACATCTGAATATCACATATTCAAAAATCAATAAAGTTAGTTCAAGGAAGGGGCTTTGGCTTATCAACTCTACAGTACAAATTGTCTATCAGAGCAATACATGCATTTCAGAACAGAACTACATATAGCATAGCTATTCCACTACACCACTCCTCAATTTTTGTTTCTCCTCACTTCATCGCAGAAAAACAATTAAAAAAAGTTGGGGTCATGAGAGCGTCAAGAACGGAAAGTTAAAATTAAGAATATTTAGCCATTTTAAAATATGCTTACCTCTAAGTAGCAAAGAATTACAAATCAAAAGCCATGTAAGATTTCTAGCTCTTTCTTGTGCACATTTCTGAATAAACCGACTAGTCCAAAACTATTTTTAAGTCATAAGCAACAGCAATTAATTTGTTCACGGCAAAGGATTTTTCATTCATATGAGTTGCCTGAATTTCTGGGTTTTCGGGTCTAACACTGTATTAATATATTATTTCCTGTTTGAAAGTTTATTCTAAAACAGGAAAGTAGTTCATAATTCACAGAATCTGATACTATTTATCTTGACATCCTAACAACAAGGACGACTGAGGCCTAAAGGTACACTTTCGTGCAACTTGAAAGTGAAGTTACCAAGAGCTGAGAAACTAAGCAGACACTTACAACACTTAACTTTGAGTACTAGCTAAAAAAGTATCTCCACTAAACTGAATTTATGATATATCCTAATTAAAAACAATCATTATTAATTATTATTTTGATAAAGCATCTGTCTGGGACGCATTCCAATAAATCAGCCATCCTGATTTAGAGGGTCCCGGTCAGAATACACATCAGGACACATATGAGAACAGATACCAAAAAGCGTAAGAGTGAGTGAGTGACTGTGTTATAACAAAAGATGACAATTTTTTCTGAAACTTCTTCCTTCCCACCTTCACCTCTCCATTAGTTAGATGATCTTGCCAAAATAGTAGGATATTTTGGAGCAGCTTAGCAATAAAAGTGGCCTTTATGCCCCATTATGGCAATATTTTAGAACTGGTCATTTTTAGGTAGTGTCCAGGATTCAGGAATCTTCTGAACCATCATATCTCCATGCAACAGAAAAAGAGGGATGTGGAGGAAGGGAGAGGGAAGAATGCTCAGGTTGCAAAGGCAACTCCTTCTTTCTCTGGAGAAAGACAACACCGTCTCCTAGGTGTTATATTTTATTTTCAGGGTGACACCTTAAAAAGTTTCAACCGCACTGCACGCTCCTTACCAGCTATGAAAAAGTTATCAGTGCAATATTCTTAAATACTATACTCATCCTACCTCAAAACACTAACAGTCCTAGTTCTTGGAATTTAGAACTTGCTATCAAAGCCAATTTAAAGGCTACAGAATTATTCTGAAGTAATAAATCCAGTAAAGATCTCCTGGCAGGAAAAGCTAGGCCACACAGGAGAAGTTACACAAGTCAAGGGTTTTTTTGCAAACATAATGCCTAGTTTTTTCTGCTTTCTCCTTGTACCTGATTGTCAAACCCAATCTTCATTACACCAAGAGTACATCTTCCACCAAATTTAGTCTTTTAATAAAATCAGACTCCAGTAATCAGAAGTTACTAATTACTAATTCATCTCCAGAAGACCTTTTAGTCTGAGGGTTACCACCCTTTTGTGTCTTCACAAAGGGAAAAATTACATATATATATATATACAGATTGCTTGCTTTTCAGGAAGACAGCTGGACTGCGCATGCTTCAAGATATATCCTTTATGAAGCCTTCCTTAGTACATGCAGTGTAATTCAGAGCTCTGAAGTTCTTCCTTTCCAACTCACCATATTGGAAAAATGACAGCAAATACTTATCCAAAAACATGAGCCAAATCACCTCTATTTCTTGAAAAGCTGGAGAAAAACATTTTTATAAATATTCTCTATAGTGAAACCAGTACTTAAAAAGGAGAATCTAAATTTCAATATTCAGAACAGGATGTGTTAACTAGGTTTCTTTCATCTGAAGTAAGCTAACATCTGACTTCCAAAAAAACACACAGCAACAAAAAGAACCCCCAACACATAGTTTTGGGAATTCATTATCACCTACTATCATATGTCATTAGTGACACACGTAGTAAGACTAGCTGTTCAAAAAAAAAAAGAAAAAAGAAAAAAGAAAAAAAACACTACTAGAAAGAACAGTGACTGTAGTAAAAGGATATCTGACACAACAACAGGTTTCTTTTTGTCTGGACTGAATGGATCCTTCCTTTTCTTCCTGGACTGCAGTTCATCATTCCATAACTCTGAAAAAGACAATAATAAGAATGTGCTATGAATCAGAAACATCTGGACATCTAGCTCTTTTTACAGCAAAAAGATTGTCCAAAAATTGAAGGCATCAGATCTTCTGGTGAGATGCTGTTTCTTCACAGGAAGAACGCATTGCATGATTCTGCAGTCACAGATTAACACTCTCAAAACACACAAGGGATGCTGACAATTACTGGACCAAAGTTCGTTTTAAGCTTAAATTCAGTCCCACAAAGTCTATGGAGCAGTTCTGAACAACATCCTACTGGATAACCACTGAAGCTCTCCAGACATACTAACTGCACATTCAAGTAATCAGCAGCTACCAGAAGATTAAACAAAACAGAAATCTTTCAATTTTCATGCACCTGAGGTAATGTCAATGCTATGCCTGTCTTCTTCAAGTCTTCTAATCTTCTCCTCCAGTTCACTTTGTACAGTATCATACAGTAGAAGCTTTTCACTCTTAAAAAAAAAAAAAAAGGTAAGAAGGCATTTTTATGCGACTAAGTTCTATCATCCAAATATATATAACATGGTATGATACATCAGAAGACAGACTAGATTTAGGTAGAAGTTTTCAGAAGCAATAAAATATATGACATATCTTTCTAGTCAGTTTCTTAGCTTGAGATCCTAGATCCTTAAAGACAGTGCATTAACTTGGCAAAAACATATTTATTTTTAATCAGCTATCAATAGCAATAATAGGTAAATATACAAAGCATGCAGCTAGATCTCTAAAATAACTTGATATTTTGACAAAAATTCAAAGTAGTTTCCTTATGGGTAGCAAACATTTATTCACAACTGTAAAGTAGTAAGTCCTTTGATGTCAAGTGCATCATTAGCATCTTGTATCTACAAAGACAAACGGAAATGTACTCACATATGAGCTTTCTACAGCATTTAACATATTCTAAGGTCTCTGCCGTCCCTAACTGTTTCAGAACAAGAAAATCAGCTTTGTGTTACAAGTGCTCTCATTTACGGACCACCATATAAAACTGGCAACAAAATTGCACACTACCTGCACAGACCAGTCACCTTTTTAAAAGCAGAAGCTAAAACCTCCAACCTCTGTAAACCAGTGTCTTGGCGTTAAGCTGAGTTACGAGCCTCAAGGAAATAGAGCTACCTAATCTTTCATAAGCTTACATATTTACTAAAACTTAAGTAGGAAATGCATTTGACAGTTACATTGTAAAGTTCATTTAAACTCCAAAGACCTCTTTTTGAATATTTTTCAAGCCCTAGGTATAGGAAGGAAGTAATGAGTGGTCCTTCATTAGACCTCATGCTTTCCCAAGGTATCAAGAATATGGAAATTATTTTACAGAATATGTGTATATCCTTGCTTCATTGGCATATTAGGAGCCCTGGACTTTGTTTTCTTCTGGGTGGATGATTGTATGCCCACATTTAAGCAACTGTAATGGGGGGCTGAGGAGGACTGTGTTGCATATTTCAAGATCTAAGTAGCTATGTTATAGGATCACAGACAGATACATATATTTGTACTAGGGTATCCAGTATCCAGATGCTTAAATAGAACGGTTTATGTTCATGAAGAGAAACATATTTTTCCAGTAACTGCTTTTGAAATGACAGTTATATCACTAGCTGTTCAAGATATCATAAAAAGACTTAATAAGACTTTTCTTTTTCCTCTCCAAAAATGCAAGGTGTTTTTTGCTAAAATTATGGTAGACATTTTAGTTACTGTTCTGGGTAATTACTATATAATGACAGATTGTGATAATATTTTTAACCTTTAATAAGATCCTATTAATGAAAACTAAGAACCCTCAGCTATACTTACATGCAAAGTCAAACTAATATGAAGCTACTTTTGACATGCTTTCAACAATTGCTGTAATGAACTTAAATATCAGAAGACAATTGCATGAAAATAGCAAACAATAGCAATACTAAAACACTTACACTGAACTTTGAAAGTTTGACACAGTAGAAGATAGATGAGACCAGCTATCAATTTAAAGTACCTGGCATTACCTCACAGTGCTGTCGAGACGCTTGAATTTCACATTCGTACTTGTTCTTCACAGATTCCAGACAAAGCTCTCTATAGATACCTATAATCAGACCAATATCTGATTCAGAATTCTCTTTCAAGACTGCCTGCACGTCTCAAAATATGCATATACTAGAAAACACAAATATATTATATTAGGCACGTACAGGGGCTGGCTACTGTAAAGAGTAAATAGCTATATAGAAAACCACAAGTAATCTCCTAAGTCTGAAGATCTGAAGGAAAATAAACGCTATTTATGCTTCCCCCCCGCCCCATCAGTCTACAGATTGTATCAGCTGTCATATTAAGCTTGCAAAATAGGTCGATTTCATATTTCTGCCCAGATTATCCTGGGTTTTCAAATACAAGAAGTACTCAACAGCCTGAACACAGACCTTAGTGCTGTCAAAGTTTTGAATCAGGAGAACCTCAAATATTCTGGCTCTCCATACCTACCTACATGAAAGTACTGACAGACAGTCACATTTAAAACTGAAAATCAAAAGCCTGGATTAGGCTTGTTTTCATGTCAAACCGTCTGGGAATTCTCTGTGAAGTCTGAGAAGGCTAACAAGGATTGAAAGAGCGTCAAGTAAATTTGGGGTAGAGATCTTAACACCCAGAAATTCTGGGTCCCCAGCCGAAGCAGGGAAAGCTATATGAGGAAGACAAGGGGTAGGAGAGGGGGGAAAAAATGCAATAGACCAAAAGACTTCTAATTCCCTTCACAATCTGAAGGCAAAAGCACCAAGGAAGAGATACTGAGCAGCACTGAAGTAGCAACAGTATTATGAAAAGCATAAGCAGGCTTGTCATTTTCCAGTTTAGTGGCACTGTGCTTCTGCAGGATCTCTTAGAAAGGGCATTGGCATAGCTTTTCTGGCCAGACAAATCATGACTGTCTGCCTTTGGCTCTTTGATAGCCTGTGTTAGGTAACCCCTAGACAGCTGAATTACTACAAAAGGAGTCAAACTATGGCATTTACAATAGGGCAGTACAGAATTTGTCTTCCTAGAATACTGCCATTCCATATGACTATATGGTTGTGTTCCAGAAGAATAAGTAAGTTCTTGTCTGCTTCTTCTACCAGCATAAGAACGTCAATAATTAAAACCCAGCTTAGATAAAACCTGCTACCGACAGTTTTCTTCCTTCTCCAGACCGGGGCCGGGAGATGGGAACAGAGGAGTAGAGAAGAGAGAGACTAGAAAAGCAGGAAAAAGCATCTAAGATGATAAGAATGAACTGTCAAGCGCTCCATGAGATGACAGATACACATCTTCTCATTTCATCTGTGACAAAGAGGAGCAGATCTAATCCCAAATTTTCTGACTAATTACAGTGATCACTGGTTTTAATGCAGCAATTTTGTGCTCACTGTGCAAAGAGAGCCAGCCATTAAATGAAACACAAGTACACTATATTTTTGGTGTGACGTTATCAGGTAACTCACGCAAAGAGGCAAGCAACTAAGCATTCTGACTTGGAAAATATCTTTAGTTTTAAAAAACATTCCTTTAACAATTTGGGGTGGGGCGGAAACAAACCTTACAAATGCATAGCAAATTTAGGTCATTAAAACAGAAACACTCATTTAATATGCCTACCTGCCACCTTTGTTCGGATTTGCATATTTTCTTGTAAAGCTGCCAATGGTTCTAAGTACTCGGGTGCTTTTCCAGCTATGACCTCTTGTAGTTTTGCATCCACTTGGCTTAATCTTTCTTTGTAAAGTCTTAAAACAATAATAAAAAAAAAAAAATCCAACTTTACTTAAGAGTAAACACAAATTAGAAGAAATACTTTTTAACAGAACTATTCTGCATATGTTTATTAATGCTACAGCACACCTAAAGAAGCAAAGAAATTTAAGGTTTGTTACCATTTGAATTTTCCAAACCATATTTTCCTCCTTTAAACAATATTCCTCATGTCTATTAAGCCCTTCTGGAAAATATGTGCAACCAAATCAGAAGTGTAGAAAATAAAGATAAAATGAAATGCATCTCCAGCTCTAAGGAGGAAGAAAAATGTATACAGCTAATAAGTGTATCATGGAGCAGCAAGTAAATTAACATGGAAGAGGATAGGAGAGGATGTTACAATACATAAGAACAATGGGGCTTATGTCATGGTAGGGAGAGGTAGATGTTTTGTGGGTAGAAATTCCTGCTCACTTCTGCAATCATGTATTTGCTTCCACCCTACCATGAACCAAGGGAAAAAACAGGCTGGTTCTTACTAAAGCAACCCTCATTGCAGTGAAAAATCCACATATCACATACTATCACAACTGTCATGCGATAACTTGTGATTGACATCTATTCTTACCAAATGGACAGAGAGATGTTATAAATATTTATATTTTACCTGATAGTCATTCTTCCTATGAAAACTGGTATTTACTGGCAGATAACATGAATAAATTTGCTTGAATTTTGAAGAATTTAATTCAGTATCTATTACAAGCATTCCAACCACAATAAAGCTCCATTCTTTACAACGAATAACTTAAAATGTTATATAGCAGAATTATCAATGTGGTAAAAATGAATATAGGAGGATCTGACTATGTGCCTTACTATCAAAAGTTGTAGCATTAAGGTAACACATAACATAGTTGGTATATGTTCAAGAACACAGCAGATCTTACCCATTTACACAGTTCACACTTTTTGGGCGAGGGATGCCGTCTTTTTACTTGTTTAACGTGCAAAGGTAAGTTATGAACTATATTGGAAAAAGTTCATGTACATTGATGCATGCAGACCTACTTGAAAAATACTGCTGTTCACCTGCCACCAGCCTGATCATTGTTTTACTTTGATGACAACTCAATACATACCTAACCCAGCAACAATCAAATAACAATCACCTCCCTCCTCAACCTGCAGGCTGTTCAAGCATGATATACACTTTATAAGACTCGCAGTCAACTGACATAACTTGCAATTGATTAAAAAACAATTTGCTGGCCTCATAATCCTATGAGGGCATCCTACGCACACTGCAGTTGACTTAGAGCAACAGCAGAATTATCTGCAGCTAGAACTGCATTGTGCACAAGCACTTGAACTCTGTTTTGCTGAAACGGAAGAGACAGGCAACTGTTTTTCTCTCTGCTGTCAGTCATGACTAAACACTTCACTGATTATGCATCTTTTTCTTCCTTCCCAATATAATTACCTCCACCCTCATGCCTGCTCCTTCCTCTCATCTTTCTTCCCCCATTTTAATGCTCTTCCTTTTCCAATATTCCCATCATCACAGTTCTTCCCGCCCCTACAAACACCCCAATCTCTCCTGAACAAAAAAGTTGACAGTTTTTCAAATGGCAAACCAGTCCGTATTGACTGGCTCCAACACTCATCAGTTGGCTCCGCAGTTATGGTCTCATTTCCCAGGTTGCTCCATGCTCAGCCAGATCAGAGAAGGACGGCAGGCCCATTTTCTCCATGCACTGGAGCAAGCCAAAGAAATAGCCTGCTGGACAATTCTTTCCAGATCATATTATACAGACTTTGCAGTGCCCTACTATGCCAAGCAAGCTGTACACCCTAGTTCTCTTGTAGAGAAAACTATCTCACAGTACAAATACTCATTTGAACGTAGTGACATCAGACTAAATTGTCTATTTAAAAAACAAACAAACCAAACACCCACCCCCTACCTCAAAAAACAAACAAAAAAACCCACAGCCCAAGATTAGACAAGGTTTCCTGAAAGTTTCACTTGTCAGATATCTGATTCAGTTAATTTGCCAAATTCCTATCAATTTAATTTGGAACAGATGCATCTCACTGGCTTAGGCATATCTGAAAAAAAAAAAAAGCTTAAATACATACAAAGGTCTCACTCTAATTCAAATGAGATTCATTTTCAAGTAACTATGGGCATTCATTTCTTCTCTACTGACTAGATGTTAACTCTGAATGATGGAGAAATGATGACAAACTATAGACAGAGAGCCAGTAGAGTCATCATTTTCAATATTGGTATACAGTTTGTGGTAACCACAAGGACCTTCCACTAGTACAAGCTATAAAAACTGCTGATACATTGCAAAAAACCCTGATTTTTTACTTATCAAAGGTAGTGCGTGGGTCTGCTTAGATAAGTCCTACACATATGGAAGGATAAGAAGGATCTTGATAGACTTCCCCTGAAAGCACAATTTCTTTTTGCTAAGTATTTTGAGGCAACAGGCCCATACCAGCCCTTCACAGCATGGCTTCAGAACCCTTCTTACAGCAAAATAACAAAAATTATATTCATTCCTGTCAGAGCCCCACAGCAGAAAAAGCATTCTGGAGCAGCTGCCAGCAAATCATTTCAGGACTCCCAATGCTTATTCTTCTCTGATAGTAGCATCAACAAATATGAAAGAAGAAACCCTTACTCCTTGCACACAATATTCTGACACAGTGAATCCTCAAATGAGACATTTAAGACATGAAAATACTTACTGATCTTTAAGGTCTGTAAATTGCTTTTCAAGATTGGACATTTCATCTAAACACTCCATTCTTCTTCTTTCACAGTCCTCATCATCTGTTTCTGGAGGGGAGAGGGAGAGGGAGAGGGAGAGGGAGA